TAAAGTAGGAAAAATTCAAGGCTGCCCTTGCGGTAGGTCGGTGAGCCGGATTCACCGATAGAAGCGCCTTCACCAGATTCAGGGCACCCGGTGAGAGAACACTGAATAAAACGAAAAGAAAACGTTACTCAACGAGCATTTAAAATTGTTGAAAATAGAGTTGGTTTCTTCATGAGAAAATATTTACTTCACGTATTGCTCCCTGAACTTGGATTTCCCAACTTCAGGGAATTGAGGTGCCGTGTACCACGGCAGATCAGTTATTTCCGGCCACTCCTGAGCAGTCGGTACGCCCATCAATTCAAAGATCCTTTCAAGTTGATTAATTTCGTCTGTCCCCGGAAATAGTGGCCTTCGTGTTATTAGTTCCATCATTATACATCTGTCACGTCACGAGATATGAAGCATGATGAGAAATCGAGAACAAAGAACATCCCCCTTCCCACACACTATTTCAACAATCACCATACCCGGCGCTCCAGAGGTCAACTTCCGGGCCATACTCCGTAGCACCTAAACATAGTTCCGGTGGACGGTACCACAGTGTGATAACGCGATTCGTATAATCGTGCATTCGATGCGGGTGAAAAAGTCGGGCAAGTCCAAAGTCTGCCAACTTAAGTTCGCCTCGGTTGTTTAATAATATATTTGATCCTGAGAAATAAGAAGAAGGGTGAGTTCGTGTTCAAATTCAATCAACCTGCAACGAAGACAACGCCGCACCTTTGACGTCACGGTGCAAAATGTGATTTTCGTGAAGGTGAGCTAAACCTTCTAGCAATTGTTTCATGAGGCATTTGATGTGGTGTGGCTCGTACGATATTTGAGGATTTGAAAGAACACCGGTGAGATCGTGATCCATATACTCAAAGACCATGTACACCACCCCTGTTATATAATTTGTGAATCCGTGGTTAGAATATAAATAACCAAATCTTCGGATTTCGAAACACCGGTTAAGCATTATCAATCACATTTCTTGCATACCTTGGTAGACCATTATCTCCTTTAGACGTACTATATGATCGTGTTTGAGTTTCTGAAGTAGTTTGATCTCCCTCAATGCGGTGACCGGGAACTACAAGAGAGTCGACTCGATTAACAGACAATAAAACCCTTGGATCAAATCCAACTTAGCGTAGTACATACTCCCTCTTTCTCTGCTTCCATGCGTATTCGTTTTAGCGCCACTATCTCTCCGGTTTCACGATTCTTTGCTTTATACACCTTGCTGATGGACATGGAATCAGATGAAATTAGAAACGTCAAGAGATCACCGGATTAAAATAACGTGAGAACAGACGAAAACCAACCCGTATGTGCCCTCTCCGACCTGGCCCAATTTCTCGTATAATTCAGTTGGCTTAACCTGAAGCGGTGTCACTCCAACATTCGAAGACCCAGGGGGAATGTTCTGCTGTGGATGTAATGGTGCTGCAGGCGGGTTGGAAGGTTGAATTGGTAACGTGAGGGGTTGTTGAGGTTGTTGGTATGTTTTGTTGGGAGAAATTGGTGACCGTAGTTGTGATACGTGTGACGGATGTGAGGAGGAGGAGTTGGTTTGAGGGTGGTGCAAATTGAAGTGAGGTGGGTTTGGAGGTTGTGGTGGTTGCGGTGGTTGTGGAGGCATTGGATGCTTATTGTCCAGCGCCTGACTATAATCGTTATTACTTATGTACGAAGGATATTGACCTGGATAATGTTCATATGCATGTTGGTGATGATGGTAATAGCCATCAGTTTGATAATGATGACCTTGTTGGTGATAATTGGTCGCATTTGGTTCCCAGGATTGTATCTGAGGGGGCAGTTGTCCCTGAAAAGGTGCCGGTTCTTGATAACTACTTTGATCTACATACGAAGTGATTACAGAGTGTGTCCCGGGTGCACCGGGTTGACTCAGGTGTGTAGATGGTTGTCTCTCGTGTTCACTTTGTTGTCCCAAATGTCCGATATGTACTCCTTGATTAATTTGGCCAGGAGGTCCTTGCGGCATGCCATGAAGTCCATGTTGTCCAGAAACCCCTGGAGGTCCTAACTGTCCTGACAATGATTGCGAGGCATGCTGTTGCGAGACACCGGGGGCGGTATGCCCTTGCACGAGCGTTCCTGGTGGCATCAGTGAACCGTGTGCAGCAGAAGGGTGAGCATGTGGATTATGCGGTCCATTAGTAGTGGTGAGATTGTTTGCCGCCCAATTTGTTTGTTGCGCCATACCATTCTGTTGTGAATATTGATGGTATCGGTCTTGATGCCATGGTGGCTGACGATCACTTTGATTCTGACGGTTTTGTCTGGGAGGACCATTGTCACGATATGAACGTGAACGATCGTTGTACTGTCGTTGTCCTTGCCAACTATCCCTGCTGCGATTGCGATGAGAAGAGTTACCCTCACGATAAGAGGATCCCTCACGATATGATGACCCGTCCCGGTATGATCTCGACTGACGATCGTTGTACTGCCTATGAACCCACCCTTCCCTGCTCTTGTCACGAGTGTGCCTACCGTAATAGTTATCCCTTCTTCCTCTTCCGTTACTATTGACATTATTATTTCCTCCTGCATTTCCATTGCCAACAACATTGTTGCCATTTTGCTGACCACCTCCAGGAATACGATTCCAATGCCGTGGTGGTTGACGAGCACGACTTCCTCCTCTGTAACCTCGTTGCGACTGTGATTCTACCCTTTGAGGTGGTGCAACTGGTGGACCATAAGGATTTTCTGGAGGTCTAAATTCATCCATGTTAGATTGCATTTCTACAAAATTTTTATTCTATTAATAAAGGTTTTTTGGATCAGCTATGGATTCCGGAATGCAAGTTCATTCATCAATCCGTGTGACTCTGTCATTATATTTTTGATGCACCTACTTTATATTAGCATTAGGTTTGTCAGTGTACATCACGCATACTATATTAATTTCGAATGTTCGAATCTTGTTGATTGTACTAAGATTCGTCATGTTAATTAATGAGCTTTGCGAAAGCATGAACAAAGATAAAATGTATTCAAAGGAAAAAGAAAAAAAAAATTTTTCAATATTATTTCGAGTGTTAAATTTATCAAACTCTTAAATAAATATGAGCAATATACATTCTATTAATTGTAAAACCTATCTTGATTCAAAGCTCTCACATAGTTTAATCAAATACATTGTTATTGGGATTAATCTAATTACTAACAATAAAAGTATCATTATTATTATTATTATTTTATTTTTTGCAACAATTCATTAAGCCAGACTAGATTGAAAGTTTATCAATCAAATGAATATATTCATTGAAATAGCATGACACATCTATAACTAAACTTTTATAACAAATTTAACTAACTTGACATAATATTAACTTATTTTAAAACTTCAAAAACAGATTAAGAAATAGACAATTAATAATAGAAATTTACTTTTGTTAAAAAGAAAATAGTTTTGATTATAATATATTAAAGTTAATAAAATTCAATTACTTGAGATATTTCTTAATTAATTAAAAAAAAGATAAAGATTATTTGATTTTTAAAAATAGGTTTATTAATAAAAAAAATTTTTTAAAAATAATTATAAAAATAATATTTTTATTTTTTAATTCACAATTATGTCACAATGGCTTGTTTTTATTGAGAAATTAAAATAAAATCTACAATAGTTTACAAACTTTTACAAATAACTAATTCATCTTTATATATAAATACTCTAAGTTAGATTTTGAAAACAATATTATATTCTCTTGATAGATTGATAATAATCTCTATTTATCACACTAGTCGAAAAAAAATTATTCGGCATACTGCCACTCGTATAATATTTGACAAAAAATAAATAATTTAGCAAAAAAAAATGACATAAATAAATCGGCAACTACAAAAATTGATAATCAAAACTATTCATTAAAAATTCGTCAAAAA